TTGGGGGGAAACACCGCACTAAAAAAAAAAACCCCCAAAAAATAAAAAAAAAAAAAAAAAAAAACTTACGCCAGAGAACCAGCAGATGATGTAATGGTTATGTCACTGGACTTCTACATAGTTGACTGTGGTTCAAGTCCTGGACCTCTGGCTTAAAACTCATGCTAGGTGTGTGTGCGTGCCAAAATCCTGAGAAGAGAATGGAAGAGAAGGGATTGTGGCATGGCCATCTCCTGGGGGATGATTTCTCACTTTCTGTCTCTCTCTGTCTCTCCAGTGAACACATGCATCCTGTAGTAATAAACAAAAACAAAACGACTCTCTCTAAAAAAGTTATCTATTTATTTTTAAAGAACTCTTTTCAGGGCCAGCAGGTGGTGTTGTGGTTAGGGGCGCTGAACTCCCACATGACCAACAACAGTTCAAGTCCTGGACCTGGCAGCTTGCTTTCTCACTTTCTTTCTCTCTTTCTGTTCCTCTCTGGTCAAATTAAAATAATTAATTAATTAATTATAGTTAAATACAATAATTCTTTTTTTTTTTTTTTTGGAGAGTTTTTCACTGTAGGGCGCGTGCGCTCGCCAGACAGACAGAGAGAGACATAGAGACAGAAAGTGAGAAATCACCCCCCAGGGGGGATGGTCACGCCGCAATCCCTTCTCCTCCATTCTCCTCTCGGGATCTTGGGCACGCACGCACACACGCCCGGCGTGAGTTTTAAGCCACCGGGTCCGGGACATGAACCGCGGTCAAGTACGTGGGAGTCCAGCGACATAGCCATTACGCTAACTGCTGGTTCCCATAATTATTATTTTTAAGAGAGATTTTTGCTATAGGGTGCATGTGCTCACCAGGGAGACAGAGACAGAAAGTAAGAAATCACCCTCCAGAGGGGATGGCCACACAGCAATCCTTTCTCCTCCATTCTCCTCTCAGGATTTGGGGCACCCATGCACACGCTCCTGGCGTGAGTTTGAAGCTACCAGGTCTGGAACTCAGACATGTGGGAGCCCAGTGATGTAACCATTATGCCATCTGTTGATCCTCCCTCCCCCAATAATTATTCTTTTTTAAAAAAGAGAAAGGTGGAGCTTTTGGGAAGAGAATCCAATGAAAGTCATTATGATGGGTCACCTATGATTGACTACTAGCGGGTTTTATTGTTATCTCATTTAATATTCCCAACAGCCCTATGTTTGGTAATTGGGATTATTAATTCATGAACAAATATTTATTAAACAATGACTATTTTCTAGATATCCTTGCTGTTGGAAATAGAGCAGAGAACAATACAGACAAGGTATTTGCTCTCAAGGAGCAAATATTCTTTTGGGAGAAGTTCAACAATCTATAAATAAACAAAAGATTTAAACCTAGAAAGCCTGAGGAGGTGACATTTGTGCATGATATTTGAATGATGGGCAGTTATTATCAACCTTGTCTTACAGATGCAGGCACTAAAATTTAGTTATACAGATAGTTCCCAGAGGGCCTTCTCCTGGGAGACCCTACT